ACTAAGCACACCATTAGAAAAAGCAGGGTAAGGCTACCTGAAAAGAAATTTCAATGAAATGTTATTTGCTTTTTTAAAGTATCTTTTAGGTATTGAATAAATGCAAYGATATAGAAAAAGAGGAATAGAGATGTATCCTGTAGTTCATAGGTTTGTAGTGAGCTCTGGTGTTAGCTTACAAGTAAAGGACTTTCCTATAAATATTGAACAATTAACTGAATATAGTGCAGATTAGAAGTGAGTATTTAAGAGAAATGTCCRGCAGATTTGCAAAAAATCCAAGGTTTTGATGATCTCCTTCCCAAGCTTCCTTCTACAGCTCTGTTTCTGTGTGACTAATGCTAGGAATGACATTCACTGCGCTCTGCGAGGAGAGCGCTCCTTATTCCTTCAAGTTCAGAGGTACGCACATTTCTCCAAACTGTTTGGCTCATCACTCCTAGGTTAATTTTACTTATGAATCATGTTGCATGGTTTGGCATATGCAGCCATCCTGGAAGTGTCAGGAGGATTTGATGTTCTAAAAACAGGCTGTATGTCATACAGTTTCCATGAAAGCATTCTTCACCATAGGCCTAGAGAGCTTAAAAGGTGCATTTTAGCACTGCTTTGGCTAAGGAGAACATCTGCAACTAATTACAGATTAAGAGATGCTAAAATCCTGTAAGATTTTTTTTTCCTGCTCTGTGAAATTAAATCATTTATCACTTTTAGCTCTCCACTTCTAAAAAAGCAAATGTTTAGCTCCATTCAAGTCAATGGATTTAGACCTAGGATGAATTTGGCACAGTGGATGACATGGCCTGTGCTTAATGTGAACCTGCCTTGTCTTCTGAAGCTATCATTACAATTCATGGCAGGAATGAAATGTCAGTGATGGACAAGACTTACTTTAGTCATGTCACGTATCTCAATGTCAGAACTCCTCCTGTAAACGACATTTCATTGCTACCACGTACAATGGTAAGAATAAAATAAAATGTTAATAAGCAGTCACACCAATGATTTCCCTAAAGCTTACAAGACAAAAATCATCATTTTTCACTTAAAAGTAGAGCAAAAAGATAATTTATCTTGACTATCCTCTTTTTCTTACCTTCATCTCAAAATAATTTAACATTAAGTAACACAAAATTAGTGAGTAAATTGCATGGGAAAATTAAGCCCAGATATGAAACAGAAGTTTACTCCCGTGGCTTTAAATCATTTACGTTGTAAATTTTGGACTGCCAAAAGAAAAAAATAACTGCAAAGAAAAGAAGTAACTCAATCGTGCCTCATCATCTGTTTGAGTCTATGAAAGGAACATACTAGTCATGTATTTCTAAATAACTGGGAGAAAAAGCTTGCAAAGACACAAATGCTGTTTYTAATTTTGCTTTTAGGAGATTAGGTCTTGCCTCACAAAAACATGCAGTACCTATTTACCTATGCAAATGTGACAGGTTGATCAGAAAAGCTGGTCAGTAGGAACACAGAGAGGTCTCGTGTCTTCCTCGTGATTCTATTGCAGCATTTTGTGCTGTGTTTTGCTTTGTCACATGAGTGAGGAAACACATTTGAGAGGACACTAATAATGTTGTACAGTTTAAGGTATTTCACGTTCTGAAAACATGTTGCTGAAAATGACATCAAATTCTAGAACACGCTTATTTCTTTGTTCAATAGTTTTTCCTAAATGCTAAAGCTAAAACAAGGCTCTTGTAAAACTGTAAGGAAGAGGCAGGAAGCAGGTATATGAAGAGACATGAGTAAGTGCTGTGACTCAGCTCCCAGTTACACAATTGCCTGCATGAATTACGCATCCCGATGGCCATCTGCACTGTCAAACGCCCTATTTGGGATTGTAGTCACACAACTGTGTGTGAACGCTAGGTCTTCTCTCCCGAAAATGTGACCATAGTCAATTGTGAAAACTTCAGCTCATAAAAACAAGAGAAAAATAAGCCATTAAATCAAATAAATTGCTTTTTGGGATCTTGGGAATCCAATATGATTTCTGTGTCTGGAACCTAAAAAAGGCACTAAATTTCCAAGGATCTTTTCAACTAAGGCAGTAGAGTACATTAGTGTACCTCTCCCGTGGGACTGCCAAAATCTTCCTTTACTCATCCACAGCTGGTAGAGCTGTTCCTTTACCCCAAGCATTAGCTGTGTGTGTTTGCAAAACCAACTGCCTTGTCTTTCATCTCCACTGCTAGGTGTGGTGTCTGCATCTACATGTCCAGGACAGCACCAAATGGAACAGCAAAGGGAATAAGAACTTCTGGGAGCACAGGCCATCAGAATAAAGCTATATCTAGTTACTGCTGGAGAAAATAACTGACTTGGGCAAGTCATTATGGGCAAAATCTAAAATAACTGCAGATGTGCTTTCTGTTTGAGGGTGTTTGTGTTTGAGCATCTAAAGATCCTTGAACTGTGGTGGAATTACAGCCCAATCAGAAGAAAAATAGTTAGAAAAAAATTATTTTTAAAGGAAATGCAAACTGCTTTCAAAATAAATATGAATACATTTAAACTATTGATAGGATTAAGTAGCCTTTTAGAAATAAAAAGTAGGATTTGCAAAAGAAAATATGCAAGCAAATACTATACCTAGTAGGTTGTTATTTACCTTGTTACGGGTACTAACCTACCTGGCACCCAAAGACATGTGCTGATGTAGTTCCTCCACGTGTACACTGACAGCTGGCTCTAAAATTTCCAAAGGTGYTGCACATTGCCTGGATTTGGTTAATATGCAGAAAGCTGTTTATGCTCCAGTTTGAAATGCTCTAAACAAAGTTCTTTGTGGTTGGAGAGGTAGCACAAATGGCTGCCAACAGCTGTCCTGGAGTGCAGTGCTGTCCTCTCCTCAGCAGATTGCTTACAGAAAGCACCTCAGAGCATCCCAGTGTCCGGAGTGCTGGAAAACCTATCAAATGAGCTAAGTCATCATGCAGGAGGAAAGGAACCTTCCCTTACAGTTCTGGCTCACATTCACTTCAAGCAAGCATTTGTGTCAATTTAAGATGCAGCTGTAGCCTCCTGACTGCAGAACCTTCTTTTGGAGGGTGTTAACACTTAGCCAAAGTGACACAGAGGTTCAGCTATCCTCGATTCCCACCTGCAGTGTCTTGATGCAAACTCATTTTCATTAGAGTTGAAGTGAAGCACCAGGGCCTGGCAAGGGATCTGAACCCTTGTGGGTGGCTCTCATGTTCAAATGAAAGAGTATCAGGTGGCTTTGGCTGAAGTTGTTCATAGAAAAAAGCACCAATTTCTCATTCATAAACGTGTAAAAGGGATATGAGTGTATTTTACAGAAGCAAATCTTTATATCAGCTGTGATATATAAGGGAAGAGAGAGTTGGAGCATTCGACACCCTATTCTCATTCTTTACGACATGATATTTACAATCTGACCAGCTATTGCAATTGAAAGTGTTGTTTTCATAAAAGTTGTTTTTCTAAGACCAATTTTCAATCCTTCTCAGAGCAGAGAGAACTTTAAAGGAGGATGAGAAATAGATGTCAACACAAAACGAGACTTTAAGTTCCAGCTCTGTAGCTGCAGAGTCCTGCCTTCCCAAAAGGGCACTTTGTACTCAGCAGTGTGATTCGTTCTGGCATGCAGGAGCTCCCCTGCAAAGCCTGACACGTACAGTTTCCAYGCCGGGCACCCAAGGCAGCTGTCTGCACAGCTACACATTGCACTAACACACAACCCCCAGCAGACTGAGGAACACCCTGGCTGCTTTAGGGAAGCCGTGCAAGGCGGCTAGGATTGATGGTGCACGAGTAGCAGTACRTGGTTTACTTCCTAGCTCTGTAATCAGCATTTAAGTTCCAGCTCTGCACTCCCTCCTAACTCGCAGGCCCCTCGAGGCTCACTTTTCAGTCCTGCAATATTCTGGTTCTCCGTGGTATGAATTGCCTTATACTCTTTTTTGCCAAGCTGTTCCCGTGGGGATTTCTTCATGGTCGATTTATATCACAAGCTGCTCTAAAAAGCTGTGCCTCCAAGAAGTTAAACAAATGCATTTATTAATCCTTTTTTTAATGATCGAGATGGAAATGTATCAAAGTACCTTATGAGCTGGGAAATGCTCATTAATATAGTTTACTATTGAAATGCCTATCATTAGCTTTTCCACAAGTAATATAATCTGCTGCAAAATATGATAGTAAGTTTCTCATCTGATTTCTATAGCATTTGCCTATATCAAAAGGCCAGAAGGCCCTTTTACCAAGCTACCATTTACAGTGGATGAAACAATTACATAATTAAAAATTCAGTGATTTTTTTCATAGAAAAAACATAGCCACGTATGCACAAAACAACCAATCATATCTAGTTAAAAAAGCAACAATATGCAGAAAATACAAAGATTGCTTGTGGGAGATTTAAATACATCTATATTGATGAGACGAGACGGAATAGAGGTGAACATGCCTCCACTTGGCTATTCAAATTCTGCCCTTGTCTAAAAATACAGATATAATACAGTAATTTTCAGTCACATCCTAAATCAACATGAACTTTGCAGTCCCAGGTTTGAGGGAAATGTGTTGATTCAGTTATTGTTACTATGATTTAAACCACAATACACACGTAAGTATCTCAAGAATAATTAAAAGCTAGTTTGATAGCATTTCAAATTCAGCTTTCTTTTCCTCTACTTACCCAATGAAAACCTTATATCTAGCAGAGTATTTACTAGAGACGTTTATGTGAACTGTTTTGTCAATACATTTTAATTATGGCCGTGAAAGAAGTTGTTATTTATTGCAACTACCCATTCTGAAAATCATAAATAGTTTATTCCTACAGCTGTTCATTCAACTTGCCTGTGGTACTCTACCTAAAACCCCACCTGTTTTATTGTAGGAAAGACTTCTGACACTGTCATTCTAGTTGTCAAGTTATTTGCCTAGATAAGCAACTTTTTTTTTTTTTTTTTTTTTTTTTTTTTTTTTTTTTTTTTACTGTGAAGGAAAGGAGCTTGAAAACTCACCAGACATCCAAATTATCCAGGAAGGAGATCGACACTCCTTAGTTATCGTTGAAGCTTTCGAGGAGGATACAGGACGTTACTCGTGCTTTGCTTCAAACATCTATGGAACGGACTCCACTTCCGCAGAGATTTACATAGAAGGTAACATGAGCAATCGCTGCAGAATGAAATTGGTAATGCAAGGTTATGATACGATTATATATCTTGTACAGTAACTGGGTATTAGATTTGTTGCATGGCATACATACCAGAAAGTTAACGGTTTCAGTCCTTATTTATTATTTCTCTATAAAAAAACTCTTCAAACAAGTATTATCAATTTCTGTAACTTGTATTTTTATTGTGCTGCTTCTCATACAGATCTCATTGCAAGGTGAAAGTCTATTGAGATCCTGATGCAAGCTACATTTTTTTTTGTCTATGATGACTTTACGGAGATAATAGAAGCTTTATCTTTGTACCTATTTCTTACTAATCCCATCTCACTTGAGTCATTAGTAGATATTGCATACAGAATGCCTTTGGCTTTTTCAATGGGAAAATATAAAAGTAGCCTCATCCTAACCTGCCATTGGGACTTTACAACCAAAACAGAGGTATATGCTAGCAATTTCATCTTCTACTTGTGCCATAGATGCTGCAAACAAAACAAAGCGTGCATCAAAGTTGAGAGTCTTTTCTTCCCCTTATGCTATTTTAATAATCCTACCTGGCTTAAGATATTTGTTAATTTCCTGTCTTTTTCTTTCCTTTTTTTTTCCCCTCTCCTTTTTGCAAGATTTTAAATTGCATAAAGTGGGAGTGCTCATTTAAAATACACATGTAGAATTTCTCCCCCCCACCCCCTTCTTCAGTTGCCAGGCAGATAAATATCATTCTGTGAGTATCATCACTGACAACAGTGGGATCATTCATAAATTACAGCACCTACCCTGTTAACACAAGGGTGCATTTCCCTTGCTGTGATTCTTCTTTCATACATCTAATCTGACACTGAAAGGACAAATCCTTTTTATAGCATTTGCACTGCCCTGACATTACGGGGTGATCTCCGTGCTTGGCAGGGATGTGCTGGCTCTCAAGACTGGAGCCAAGGCCTGTTTGTACCTACCTTGGGGGGCTGGCTGGAAGCCACGGCTGGTGGAGATGCTCGTTGACAGGGACGACAGAAAACGCATGTTCCAGATGCAGCAAAGGCTGAATCAGAAATGTCAAATGCCTCAGCAAGACAGCTGTTAGTAAATGCAGCTAACGACTTCTCCAGACTCTGGTAGAAGAGAGCAGAATAAGAATATTCTTCTGCAAAAGAAAAATAGATATGACTTCAGATCTCTCTCCCCTCCAAGCTTGTTTTCTCATTTATTTCTCTTCTTTATTCATAGAATCAGGTATCTAAAAGCAAGAGTTCTTACAGACTAAATCATACTAGTGTCATTTCAGAGAGAAGCTAAGGAGCACCCAGGTGGGCATTCTCTCCTGGGTGACGTTTTCCTTATTCCAACTGCCCACTGCGCTAAACCTGCCTTATGCCAAGAGCACTTCTGCATCCTACGCAGTAGGCAGTTTTGGTTGATTTTCACAGCAATGCCATTCTTTCTCTTGGCATAGCTTTATACTATATATAATTACAACATTCTAGAGGAAGGTTTGCATGATTCTTGGACAAATTTCTCCAAAAAGCATCCCCTAAACAAGTTTATTTTCTTTCTTAGGAGTCTCCTCTTCTGACTCTGAAGGTGAAACCATCAAAGACGAAATGGATCAGTAAGTTTGAAATACATTAAATACCTTAAATATTCCCTATTTCTCACAGTTAAAGATAAAAAAGAAGTTAAGTGCAGAAATTTCACTTTCCATTAATATTTTCCAGCTTCCAACATGTTAAGCTTTGGTTTGGGCATATGTTCGTATGTTTAAACAAACTTTAAAATATTATTTTAAAGTTTAATATTAAATGTAGGCAAAAAGAAATACACTAAAGATTAAGCTAATAAAACTAATTTACTAAAACATATGCTGCTTGAGTACACTGACTTAAAAACAGAATTGTCTACCTTGAAAATACAATGCAGTAAAATTTCTCACATGGAAATATGGTATGACATGAAGATTTTGGCAAAAGATTACTATCCATGGAGTACTTATATTTAACATAAGGAAATTAGCATATGTGAACTAGAGTTAACTGAACTGATGAATATATAGGAAACAGCAATTGCCAGATGCCTTTAACCTCAAGCCTCAGTAATATGTTATTTTTCCTAAGTGAAATCCATTCCTTATGGATTTAGCACTTGATCGAATCCTGTCAGAATCAACAGAAATCCTTCCATCAATTGGGAAGAAAGTCTGGTTGAAAACCAGAATAAGTGATGCTTTATGTTGAACTCCTCTGTACACACGAGTTTAATCCCCCAAAAAATGGTGGCTTATAAAGACAGAATTTTGATCAGACTTATATACCTTGTGCTTTTCCATTATTTATTAAGGCAGGTTACATTCACTGCATATTTTATTTACTTTTAAAATACAACAGACAATACAAGCAGACATAAGGCAAATCCTTACCCGTCTTTTTTTTTTTTTTTTTTTAACCTCCAAGTTATAAAATACTTCAGATTGGATTGTTTCATTGACTTTGACAAATTCAGTGGTTTAATATAAAATGCTAGAGCAAGAAGGTCTCATGGTTTTGGGGACCATTTGCTAAGTTTCATAGTTCTAGCTCAGGCTTTTCCAAATATCTCAGGTATGACGCTATTTTCCTCATTCATGCCTTTAGACGCCAAAGTAGGGATGATCCTGATCATTTGATGGCATCTCTAGGTTACTTACCTCATGGAATTTTGAAGAAATGTGTTGCATTCTGTAATTCTGGGGGAAAAAAGGGAATGCTGCTCTGCTATCRTAGCCGGATGTCCTCAAATGCTAGAATGACAAAAGAGGAGGCTCAGGTTAGCTTCCAGCTGTCATCACAACCACCTGGGCACCTGTAATGGATGGGAATTAATATTCACAGAACAGCTGAGAACTGCTACTAAAAATGTTTAGTTTCAAACAAGATCTCAGCAACTGTCTTCACCCCGCGTAAGGCTTTCTCTGCTTTGAAGGCTGGCTTTCCTGACTGGCCTGGGACATGCCAGAGCAGTCAGTGCAACACTTGATGAAACAGAGTACAAAGACTGCATTGTTTGCATTATTTCACTTAGCAGTAAAAATACACAGGGCCAACTGTTTTGCTTCCATATAGAAGCAGTCTACCAGGAGTGAACAGGTGCCAACCTGTACACTTCCATAACACCATCAGTGTTTGCCACAAAACTTCCCTACTTTCTTTGTAAGCAGCAAATTATCAATTCTGTACCCAAGCAGAGTGAAATATTCCCATGGTCATCAGAACTTTCTTTTTGGTTCACATTTCACAGCATCCCAAAGGCAGCTGACACCTTGTCGAGCGCAGCATCCTCTGCTGCCAAATCTGCAGCCAAGCACCAAGAACCCACCAAGACCCCCTCTGCTGCAGTGCAGCCTGCGTCAACACCACTTAATCAGGTATGGGAAACAATTTGGGAATGGGAAACAGGTAAGGACAGAGATGTTCCTGTAGGAACAGGTAAGGCAGGATGTGCACGGGAGCTCGCCGGCATCTCGTGCTGTCCACCTGCTCACCTGCTCGCTGCAGCGTCAGCCAGGAAGCTTCTCCCTCCTGCTCTATGAAACTCACTTCAGAGCTTCTGCCAGTTACCACAGGGCTCTGGGGGGGCAAGYTGGGGGTAATGCAGAAGGGCGGATGTACTGCAGGTTTACTCTGGACTACAGGGACAACAGAAGAGAGCTCTGTCATACTGGCAGAGGCGGCTGAACCCAGTCTGGCGGGTGCCTCMGAAATGACCGCTTTCAATCTTGTTGGCTTAGAAGACACTTCCTATAAAACTTGTTCTTGTTCTCCAAAGGCACTGCATGATCCGAGGAGCTTCTACTCCCATCAAAAAGAAAAAACGCAGTTAATCAAGTTGCGTAAGGAAGTTTTGCCAGGAGGAAAGTAATTGCACGTGGCTTTCACTGAGGAGGATCAATAGGGTGATATCCCACCTCCATAAATCATTTCAGCTGGGGCAAAGGGGAAGATTTACAGTAGCAGTCACACATGYGACAACTCCCCTTATTCACAGCCATGAATATTTTGCAAGTCAGGCTTAAAAGGAGTCTACAACAAGCAGCCTACATAGACTTGCATCCTAAAGTATCCGAGTACTATAATCCACTGCAATAAAGTATTATTTTTATATGATTAACACAATAATTAAAATAGTATTTATGGTGCTTTGGCTGCAAAACATCCAGAATGATCACTATGWATGATCACTATGCCTCTGCACTTAGCATCCAATCGGAGTGATAGTTGAGCTTTTTAACTTTCAAAGGATGGAAGTGGCATGCAAGGACACCTCATGCTTCCCTGGATATGGAAAAATACACTCTGTACCTGCACTTTCTCATGTGTTGTTTTGCAATCCACAGGCTCAAAGCCCCACTAACTATTTGCAAGGACTGGATGGAAGACCTATAATAGCTGCGCCTGTATTCACAAAGGTAATTCATTTTAGGACATACTTGAAAATGGAAGACAGTAATTGTATGGTGAGCCAATTAAAATTTCATAGCAATCAATAGGGAAAAAGAAATATTTGTCTTTTTTACTCCAAATTTAAGTGGCTTTATGAAATCTTATGAAAAAAATCAATGTTACTTCTGGACCGATAAAACTGACTATGTCTCTYTGTTTTCTGTACCAGATGTTACAGGACATTTCAGCTTCTGAAGGGCAGCTTGTTGTCTTTGAGTGCCGGGTGAAAGGAGCTCCTTCTCCAAAGGTTGAGTGGTACAGAGAAGGAACACTGATAGAAGATTCCCCAGATTTTAGGATATTACAGAAAAGTATGTTTCCTGGGTGGTGTTGGGTCTAACACAATACAGGCGTGCAACAAAATTCCTAGCATAGCAACACCAGGTATTTCGTATTGCAATAGGAAGAACCGAGTCATATTTGCAATAAAATCTATATGGCCTAAGCCATATGGCAATAAAAACTGGGTCCCAAAAGCCAAAACTGTAGTGAATTGAACAGAATATTCACAGGTAGTATTTGTATGACAAACACTGGTTCATTAAAACAGTTCCAAGTTTAAGTATTAYGGCCAACTGAAATAAAGAAAAATGAGTAGTAAGCTTGACATATCATGGAGTACAAGGCTTGGCTGTCTCTGCCATCCCTTAAACAGAAAACTGCATCAAAAGGAATATTGCATCATACAGAAAAAAAAAATCTAATTTTATATCTAGTCTTTACAAAAAAATGTATTGACAAATATATTTAATCTATTAATTCTCCTCTTCCTTTTAGAGCCACGATCTATGGCTGAACCAGGTGAGTATCATCTAAAAGTTTACGCTTTTTTCAAAAATAAAAATTCTTTTAATTCCATAATTAAGTTAACTTTAAATAATTGTATATGACTATCAGTGAGATGCATTTCTCCGTAGAACGTTTAATAGATATAAAATGTGCTAGAACCTGAATTAATTTTAATTTTGAGGAAGAGAGTGTTTCTCTTTTGCTTTGATGCAATTCTGTCCTAGGGCCTAACTGCTACTTTCTTACAGGCTAAAAATGAGCAAAATGAACAGAGGAAAGTCTCCATGCGTGTATCTAGGGATCAGAAGTACACTGGATGATGCAGAACTGAGCTATTTTTATCTAGTTTACCAGTTAGGGAACATTGCATCAGATGTTTAGCCATGTCAGCCATTCCCTTTGCTCCCTACCAGGGTAATATGAGAGTGGCACATCAGGTGTTCATCCCTGGTATTAGCAAACCCCAGAAAAGTGCCTGGATTTGCTCCTTTTGAGGATCCGAACAGAGCGTAGGCTGCTCTGCAGCATTTGAGCAGCGGCTTCCTGGGCTGTGACAGCTCTCCAGGAGACAATCACTCTCCTAGTTCTGCTCTCCACCGTTAGAAAACATAACTGCCCCTCTCAAAGAGCAAATTACTAAGAGAGTTTTAATTCTTAYGGAACATAAAAGTCCGTAACTTTTCTCCCTGCCCGCTTAGAAGTTTTGAACCCAACAAGTGTCTTGAAAAAAGACTTGGGAAAAGCCTGTATTTCCCTCTGTCTGCAATATCCTGTATTTCCCTCAGTCTGCAACATCTCTCTCATAGACTTGGGAAGGAAAAAATGGAGCTTCTACCAGGAGGCGCCGTTCCTTTGCTGTCCGGTGGCATCACTGCAGAGTAATGTGAAGCAGTTTGGAGAGGGTAATCGCTAGGTACAGTTGTCACTGCCTCATCCCTTGCTACTCATTCAGAAGGAATCTGGATTTCCACACACACAGTGGCTGGCAAATCCAAGTACTATAAACTAGACACTATAATGCCTTAAATCAGCTCTATAATCCAAGCACTAGAATAAACTATTATTCTCCTACAGCTGCTGACAAGTCATCTCTAYGTTGCTACTAGAGTCTCCTCAGTGATGACATGAAATAAAGTGCTTTAGCCTTCTACCAAAATATTGATAAAATATTAATCTTGTGTTTCTGTAGGAAAGATTCTTGCAAAACAGCAGCAAAATAGGCACTACTGTGGGCCATCAGCCCCTGCTGGTATATATTTGAATATTCCTTCCTCCCCAGCTACTTGAGCAAACAAAATATGTAAAATGCCACCACCATAGGTAATCATAGGTGCTGCTTCGACATGGCAGGTACTGCCCRGACAGCAGTAAAAATCAAACCTAATCAAACCTAATCCTAGGTTGATTTTTCAAGACAGAATCCCATTTTTCCTAGCACAATTTTGCACACACATTTTGCGTGCTTACACGTCTTCACAAAGAAGGGAAAAGGCAGCTTTCTGTAGGGACAATCAGCAGAAYGTCCCCAGCTGCGAATGTGCACTGGCATTTTTGAAAAATGCTGACCTTCTTATATGCATTTCACATCTCCTCACCTTACAAAGTATCTCTGCTTGAACTGGCCCTAATTAAAACTAATCTCTCACTGTGCAAAGAGATACTGAAAAACCCATCTTTTAGTGAGCTGTGAGGCCAGAGGCTACCTTGTTCCTCCAAGCTTCTCCAGTGAGGAGCTCTTAAGAGCGAAAGGCTGCATTTCACATGCGTCGGAGGGCATTCTCTCAGGCTTCGCRCGCTCTGCCAACCCCTGTCCTTCCTCGCTCCGCTTGCGCGGGTCGGAGYGTGCGGGGTGCTGGCTGCTGCAGACGATGCCGGTAGCAGCTGCGGTGCACGGAGCCTGCCAAAGCTGGGAATGCTGAGGAAACGGGGAGCAGAGTGAGCAAGGTGGAAAACGTGCYGGAAACGGCCCCCCAGGGTAGCCCGGTCTGTGTGTGCGTGTTCAATGCATGTTCACTTGAAGTAATGACCCTGCTTTGGTGCTTTGCAGAGGAGATTTGTACTCTGGTAATCGCGGAAGTTTTCTCGGAAGATTCTGGCACTTTYACATGCACCGCGAGCAATAAATATGGCACAGTGTCTAGCATAGCTCACCTATCTGTCAAAGGTAAGAGATGCTTTTAGTCCCTCTTTTCCAAGTGCCCTTCCCCAGTTACTGATCCCACTGCTGATGCTAGTGAAGGAGTGGGCAACAACACRGAGCTCATCCAGAGCAGCTCTTCCTCAATGGAAGCTCCTGCTGACTGCATGACTTGGGTACTAGGATTTGGGGAATTTGTGCTTGAGGTCCAGCAGGGCTTCCCACAACTGAAAAAGCTGCAACTCCTCCACGAGGAAAGTTTCTATTCTGAATAGGCTGGAGGAATTCACAGGCAACATGGCTGGAT